CCCAGCTGTATATGCTGAGCATGATGTCATATGGTATGGAATATCCCTTTGGTCAGCTGGGGTCAGCTGGCCCGGCCGTGTCCCCTCCCAACTTCTTGTGCACCCCCAGCCTACTCGCTGGTGGGGTGGGGTGAGAAGCAGAAAAGGCCTCGACTCTGTGTCAGCACTGCTCAGCAATAACGAAAACATCCCTGTATTATCAACACTGTTTTCAGCACAAATCCAAAACATAGCCCCATACTAGCTCCTATGAAGAAAATTGACTCTATCCCAGCCAAAACCAGTATAGCTCTCTAACGATTTCTTCTTTGCAATGAGCGCTACTGATTTTTAAATGATTTTACATTTCTTTGGAAATTTTTGGTTTTGATAATAAATAACTTCTTACATGACTTTCAGCATGTATGTGGAAAAAATCTATTAAAAAGCAGAAGTTTAGCAGAATGTTAGTACAGCACATTAACTTTTCTGAGAGAAAAAGTAGATCTTCCCAGAGAGAGGCAGTGTGTTTTATGATATTGCATGAAAAAACCCTATGTTAGCGCTAATACAGGAAGAGAAGAATATAAAGATCTAAACGTTTAAAGCACAGTTTCTCTCACAGAAAATTCTGAAGTGGAATTGAAGAGGTTGCGTACTTCTGTCACTTAACTTCAAGTAGAATAACCTAGTATTAATACTTGGCAGGAGGTATGAGAAGAGGCTTGAGAGAACTGGGCTGGTTTAACCTGAAAAAGAGGCGGCTTCTTTAATTACTTGCTAGGAGGAAATAGAGAAGATGAAGCCACACTTTCCTGGAGGGAACAGGACAAGAGACGACGGATGTAAATCGGAACACAGAAAATTCTCGTTAGAGATCAGGAAAATTAATTTCATAACAAGGCTGATCAAATACCAGAACAGACTGCCAAGAGGCTGCAGCATCTTCATCCTTGCAGATATTGCAAATGCGACTGGACAAGGCCTTAAGCAAGCTGCTCTAATTCGAGATGCTCTCAGAAGGTGGTTGGACACAGAGGTCCACTCCAATCTAAAATAGGCTGCAATTATTTGGGCTTTTCATCTTCAAATAATTTTATAGCTATCAAGGCTGGAGTTTTCAAAAGAAGAGGGAGCAAAGTTCCAAAATTCCTCCTAGTTGCTAAATATGATTTAGCTGCTTAGCTCTATTACAGCCCTTTGAACATTTTAACCCAGAACAATCTCTGCAGCATCCCAATGATGACAATCATACAGGATCAGTTAACCTAGAAAGACATTTTCTATGTTCCCCCTTTAATCCAACCTGACCTTCCACTGCTTCTGCTGTTAATCTAAGAGTGTATGTTTGTGATATACAAGTCTTGGCAAGAAAACACCAAAATCAGTATTGTGATTTCACTACAGGAACTAATTTACACATATATAGTTGGAATCAGGCAAAAATAAAGAGAAGGAAGAAAAGCAGCTTATTTCCTGATGGATACCACTAAAAATTATTTTCCAACATTAAAACTCCAAGCAGTGTTGCAAATATATAATGTAATATAATAAAAGAATATTTTTCTAATTCTCTATGTCAAACATGGAAATAAAAAGCTTTTGCTTAGGACTGATGAACTTCTAAATGCAAATTTTTAAAATAACTGGAAATACATGAACTCAGTTTCTCTCCTATTGCTCCTCTCCAGAAAAAAACGTTCAAAAGGATGGAAATTTCTAGAGCATATGGCTGTTGCAATGGTTTAAAACCAAACCGTTTACTTTACTGTGGGGAACCACTCCAACATCCTGCAGTTCTGAACTGCTTTGTCATGGTGCTATTATACAATCCACTCCCACCTTATGAGGTTATGGCTCAGATCCTAGGGCAAACATTTCTACATCACTGTAAAAAGTATGAACAACAAAGTGGTTTAACCACTGTGTCCTGTGAGAAAATAAATGAGCAGTGCAGACAAATCAGTTGTGTCAGGAGTGCTTTTGTCTAAAACCTCCAGAGCTTGTAAGCAGAACTAGTGATGATAAGAACTGGATGTCAGATCCAAATTTTGCTTAAAAAATACCATGCGCCCTTACAGATACCTTCTTCATGCATGTGCGGATAAAATGCTAGAATGAAAAAAACAGGACAAAACTCCACAACTCAACAGGTTTCTTGATTTTTTTTCCAGAAGGTTTCTTATTTTTTTTTGACAGAACAGATTTCGTAACCTTATTCCTTGCCCTCCAATGACTCACTCCCCCCAAAACCCCACACCTTGTCAAAGCCCTTAACAACGCTGTTTAGTCTCCCAATAATCATCGTGCAAAAGAACAATCCCAAACCCTTTAGACTAGTGTCAATCCTCAAAATTACTGAAGAGCCATCACACTCTCTCAAGCTCCTAACTGAAAGTCATGAGTGACTCTGGAGAACTTGCCGCAAGAGGTCTGCAGACCAGAGTCTGTGACTATAGCAGGTCTAAAGCATAACATTCGCAAGGGTATTGTATCTAAAAAATCCCCAGCTTCCTCCGGTTATATATTAGACTATACACTAGTACTATCAGATCTTCCCCACCCTCTCTTTTTTTCCCCCCAGA